AGAGAGAGAGAGGGAGGGAGGGAGGGAGGGAGGGAGGGGGAGAGAGAGATAAAGAGGGAGAGGGAGAGAGGGGAGGGGAGAGAGAGAGGGAGAGAGGGGGAGGGAGAGGGAGAGTGGGAAGGGGGAGAGGGAGAGGGACAGGGAGAGGGAGAGAGAGGGAGAGAGAGGGAGGGAGAGGGAGGGAGGGAGGGAGGGAGAGAGAGAGGGGGGAGGGAGAGGGGGGGCAGGGAGAGAGAGAGGGGAGGTGGGCAGAGCCCCTTTAAAAGGAAATATAGGGCACAGGTGGTGCTCTTGGTGGCAGCAGCCGAGGGTGCATCTTGTCAGAACTCCACAGACCAGTAAAAATGCCTAAATACTAACAACTCCTATTCTTCCTCTTTCTTTTATTTTCCATGCCACACTGCCAAAACCGTCCCCTTAAGGTACCTCACCGGTTACAAAAATAACTTGATAATTTTCTGCCAACTTCCTCCCACTGTTTCCTCAATAAAGACCAGATTCTTTAATCTGGCTTTTATAATCACACCCATAACCTATCACTGCTCAGTTAAACAAAGAGCTATGCTCTACTCTAAGTGAGCCCTCTGTCAGATGTGGGGTTGGTGAAGATCTTTTTCCATTCTGTAGGGAGCCATTTTGTCTTGTTGACTGTGTTCTTTACAGAAGCTTCTCAGTTTCAGGAAGTCACATTTATTAATTGTTTTTCTCAAAGTCTGTGCTACTGGTGTTCTATTTAGGAAGTGGTGCACTGTGCCTAGGAGTTCAAACTTATTTCCCATTTTAGTGTGGCTGGATTTATGTTGAGGTCTTTGATTCATTTGGACTTGAGTTTTGTGCATGGCGATAGACATGGATCTATCTGCAGTCTTCTACATGTTGACAGCCAACCGGTTATGCCAGCACCGTTTGTTCAATACGTCTTCTTTTTTTCATATTATACTTTTAGCATCTTTGTCAAAAATAAGGTGTTCATGGGTATGTGCGTTGATATCAGGGGTCTTCAATTCGATTCCATTGATCCACCTGTCTGTTTTTATGCCAATAGTAAGCTGTTTTCATTATTATAGCTCTATAGTAGAGCTTGAAGTCAGGGATGGCAATGCCCCCAGACTGACTCCCAGCTTTTATTATTAAGACCTATTAGAGCTTGTGTTACAAGAATGGGAATGAAGCCGGGCGTTGGTGGCGCACGCCTTTTATCCCAGCACTCGGGAGGCAGAGGCAGGTGGATCTCTGTGAGTTCGAGGCCAGCCTGGTCTACAGGGTGAGTTCCAGAACAGCCTCCAAAGCCACAGAGAAACCCTGTCTCGAAAAAACAAAAAAACAAAAAAAAAAAAAAAGAATGGGAATGAAAAGGTTCCTTTTCTTTCTCCTTATTCACTTCGAGGCAGAAGCATCTTTAATAGGAAGATATCAGATGACATGAAGGAGATGTATGAAGAGTTGGCTCAGTGGTTAAGAGCAGCTATTGCTCTTGGACAGGACTGGAGGTTGGTTCTAGTACCCACATGAAGCAGATCACAACTTCCTGTCACTCCAGCTCCCAGGAATCTGATGTCCTCTCCTGGCCTTAGTAGGCACATGCACACACACGAGCATGCACACAAACACAAAATAAATAAATCTTTTAAAAAGTGGTAATGATAACAGAAAAATTACTGTAAACATTTGTTGATAGCATCAACTATATTGGGTGTATTGCTGAAGGTCAACAACCCTAAGTATTATTGCTATGACACCTGTTTCTTAAGTAAATATGAGCCTTGGAGGGGTGAAGTAACTTACCCTAATTACTTTGTTGCTTCATGGTGAAGTAAGGATTTTAAGCTAGCTGTTATTATTAATTATCTAAATTGCTGCAATGCTCATATTCTAAATAAATTGAATTTTCTTAGTATATCTGAAGGAAATGACCATATGATGTGGACTTTTTCCATTTGGAGTATCCATGAATTGGGCAACTTCTGTTGGTTTTCCAGAATTTCTCTGCATTGCTCCCTTTTGCTCTGGGCACCAAGGATAGGACTTCCTTAGGTTGGAGGGAGTGAGGTTGATAGTCAGCTTCTTTGTCTCTTTGACAGATGGCTGCTACCTCCGGCTCCTGCCTGGTGGCATTACCCTGCAGTCTCCCCTGTCTCTGTGTTCTAGTGACCACTCCTTCCCTTCACCACTTGGACTGAAGGCTTGCAATGCTTGCTCTGCCAGCTCCAGGGATTACAAAAGCCTTCTGTGGTTTCTTTCTGCTTGGTCTAGATCTTTGTAAATCAACCCTTAATTCAACTCTGACTTTTCCTGTTTTGAGTTTGCCTTTTGTTCTGATTGATGCAGTCCCTTCGAGAGCGCCCCATTTCTGGCATGGTTCTCCTTCGGTTTACACTTATGCCGGATCTAGTAGTTGGACAAACTGAACCCCCTGCCACAGGAAGGGAAGCGAATGTTCCTATTCCTGAATCCTGTGATTTCAAGGAGGATTCTGCTCAGTGTCATGGACCTAGGGAGGGCAGGAATTCCAGGTCTGTAGTTCTGGTTCAGTCATCCCAGGGATGTGGGTTCAATGATGGCTTTTTGACTAACTACAGGACTCAAGGATGTACAGTGATTATTTTCTCAAAGACAACATGAATTGACCTAAAGTCTTAGGGCAATCTTTGTTTTTGTTTTTGTTTTTCTTTTGGCTAAAGAAAAAATTCTTATTGGCAGGTTTGGCCCACACCTGCAGGGATAGCAAGTCTGCTTTAGTTGTACGTAGAGTCATGGGATACAGGCTCTTTTCTACTTTGCCTGGAAGTCTGGAAGTATAACCAAAAGGTTTGGCGCTGGAGAGATGGCTCGGTGGTTGGGAGCACTGCCTGCTCTTCCAAAGGTTCTGAGTTCAATTCCCAGAAACCACATGGTGGCTTACAGCCATCTGTGGGGAAATCTGGTGTCCTCTTCTGGCCTGCATGCCATACATAAATAAATAAATACATCTTAAAAAACAAACACAAGCAAACAATAGGTTTTAGTGACTTTAGCAATTCCCTGGAGAATGTCACCAACTGTTATTAAATTCATTTGATTTAGACTTGGGGCATGCCCATCCATCAATCTTTATTCACAAGGAAATTGGGATTAGAAAGTTTGCTTCTTTGAAAGTGAAATTTTACCTCACTCCTCATCCACAATTCTATATACAGGAGAAATTACAGATTCCTAGAAATGAGCTTTAGGAAAATACCTATTGAGTTCATGAAATATCCCAGAGTTTTCTTGGAAGAAATGACAGCTGCTGGCCAGGTCAGAAATGGATTTTCTAGGTGGAGAAAATGGTGTGGGAACTGTCATAGGTAGGAGAAAACATGAGCATTTTTTCACTCCCAGGCTGTATCCTAGAATGACAGCATTGAGAATTCAGGTGTGTGTCATTAAGGCCACGTGGGCCGGGGTAGTTGGCATCTGAACATTAAGGTGACCAACCTCCTTGTTTGCTAGGAGTGTTCCAACTTAACACTAACAGTCCCAGGTCCCAAGAAACTCAGAAGCTGCAGACAAATGTGGACAGGTATTCCCAGAAGGAGGTACATCTGTAAAGGTTCATTGATTAGAACTGCATTGGTGTGGAGAAGTTGGGATGTTGCAGGTCTAGAGGCTAACTACCTATCTTTAGCTCCCAGAAAAACTGTGTTGGAGCTAACATCCTGTGACTAAATACTTAAAACCTTTTGGAATCTGTTAGTTTTAACAGACCACTAGCTTCTACCAACTCGAAAGACAGGAATGTTGTGTAGCATCTGAGGTCTGCAGGAGAGACTCCTCAATCTTGCTGTAACCAACTCAGTGATGGTTCCACCGTGTGTTGTAAAGCTGACTTGATTTGTTAATTTCTTTGTTCGGTTACTGTTACTACAAAAAATTAAATTAAAAAAGTCCTTGAAATTCCTTTCATGTTGGAACATGGAACCTGAGGTAAGGTAGCTTTGTATTTTTGTATTTCCTGGGCCATGTTCGCTCAAATTTTGCACCAGAATAAATTATCTTATTCTTGTTGAGATGAACACTATGGTTGTTGTTGTTGTTTTTAGCATCAATACATGCCAGGACAGTTAGCTACCTTCTGCTACACAAGCAGCTATTAAATATTTTAGATCTCTTTCTTGAATGATATGTTGAGGTACTGGGCTACAGAAATGGCTCCGTGGGGAAAGGGCTTTACCACGAGAGCTTGAGGACCTGAATTCAGATACCTACAACCCACATAGAGCTGGGCATGGTAGCACCTGTCTGAAATCCCAGCATTCCTATGTCAAGACGGGAGGCAAAGACAGGGCTATCTCCAGCACACAGGCTAGCTACATAGCAGCAAACCACAGGCCCTGTTGCGAATGAGGTGGATGGAAGACCTTACATCTGAGGTTGTTCTGTGACCTGCACACATGTGCTTGGCGTATGGGAGCCTACCTGCATTCACATACACTCACTTGTATGCACACGTGCTCGATAAACTTAGGTATACTCATGTAACATGTCATGCACACCTCCAATGTGTGCTCTGAGCCTTTGCTTAATAAGCTTGACTCTTTGACAGTTCTTTTGCTTTTTTTATTATTTTGGCTCCTGGGTAGGATTTCTAACTTATGCCCTCGGTCTCATGCATTGTTTAAGATAACCTCCCCTCACGTTGACAGCCTAAGGAACTTTCCTATACGTGTAGCCTCGGAAGGCCCCTTGAACTCCTCTTTCCTGCTAGCAGATGAATTCGCCTCCAGGATCTTTGAAGAATACTCCTAAAAGACTTTTCTGCTTAGAGGAAATTCCTTTTTAGCCCCAGAAAGCGACTGACTGCGGGAAAAGAAGGGCTTCTATGACTGGAGTGTGCTGGGAGACACTCTGAGAAACCACAGCACCGTTTTTAGTTTTTCTTTTTTTTAAGTCCCCGAATCCTCACTATAGACGAATCTGCAAGAATAGCAGATACACCAGCTGATGCCGGTGGCAGGCAGGAGTGTTCTTCCTATCGGCTGCTTTCAGAGCCAAACAGCTGTGCTCCGCCTCTGTTCCCCGGGCACCTGCCAGCCTCCTTCCCTGCTGGAGTGCTTCCCTGCAGCGGCACTGGAGAATGTCACTAGCCAGACCAAGGCACAGAAGGCACATCACAGAAAAATCTTGTCACAATGCCTTCCCACACACTTGTGAAAGTGACAGGCATTTGTAAATAATTTACAAGAGGATAAATTCCTTATTGAAATTGAGGACCGTGATATCTCTGCTCTCAGGAGGTAAGGAGCATAGATGGTGTCGAAGTCCTTGGGAATTCTAGGTCTGATTTTTCTACTTGGCAATAGTGCATAAGAGGTGCACATTTAATACAAACAGTTCTGATTTTCAATGCTGATAGTTTCTTGGGCTAACAATATGCTATCAGATTCTCTTCATGTCCGTTACATAGTGAAGCTGCCGAGCTATGGGATCCTGTGGGCTAGGCCCATGTTCAAGTTACAGTATTTTCACCTTATAATTTATTTTTGTGACATAATCCCATTGCAAGCAATGTATTTCACATTTGAAAGTATTTATGTGTCATAAGCCAAATCGATCATCTACAACTCTCAGGTCTGTAGATGACCAACTCTGTAGGTCACCACCACCGTCATCATCATCACCATCACCATTTTTTGTTTGTTTGTTTTTTGTTGTTGTTTTGGCCAAATAAGTTTTGGAAACAGGAAGATGAGCAACTAACTACCCAGCCTGAGTTTGTGTCCTAAGGAATGAATTTCATTCATATTCCACCCTTGTTGCCATAGTCATGCTCTCTGCATTATAGCCTTTGTTCAATCCATACCATTAGAAAAAAACTACAGAAAGTTAGTTCTGCTGTGGCCTTGGATGCCTGTTAGCTCCACTCGTGTGTGAGATACTAGAGATGGCGTGCTTACTCAGCTGTCTGTTGGTGACTGTTTCAGATCATCTTGGGAGGAATATTTGGGGAAGCCAATCCACATTATCCATTTTTTAAAGTTCTATTCCTATCTTTTCAGTACACTGAGGAAGAAACACACAGCCTCTAGAATCATGAAAAAGGAATAGCTTTCTTCCAGAAAGACACAGATTTTTAGAATCTCAAGGGGATGGAACAATCCTGTGTTCGTAATTTCTCCAGGCTATCTTTCATTCTCTTTGTTGCCCCTCTGCCTTTTCCTGCCCCTCCTGGAAGGCAGGGTTGGGTCATACGAATTACACCATCTTGTCAATTAGTGACTACCAGGTGTATGAGAAATGCCCAAGCAAGAAGGGGCAGTGCCAGGCAGGTCAGGGATCCACCCACTCCAGGGCCTAAGTCAGAGAGGGGCAGTTACTTGTGATTTCTTTGTGTGCCTCAGCAGTAGCTGCGCCCAGCGATGAGAAGATCAGAAATCAGCCCGGACAAGGCTGAGTGAAAAGCCTGAGTCACACGAGCAAGCTCAGACAAACCAGTCCTGTCGTCGGGACTTAACTGCCTCTGTATCGTGAAAGCAAACCAAGCCTGGAGGGGTGGGGGCGGAGGAAAATGAAGAGCAAATGTCCTGTCTGACCCGGGAGAGCAGCAGGAAGGCGTTTGAAGAGAAGCCACACTTGCATTTCTCCGAAGGAACTTCACCAGTCCGCTGGTGAGACGCCACTTTTGTAGAAAATTATGTATGAACATTGAAGATTAGGAAGCATTGAATGTATAGATTGGTTTCTGGTCTATGCGCTCTAAGCTGTATCCCTAGACCCAGAATTCTTAGCAAAGATTTCCCAGGGTGTAGGACTGTGAGCCTATTTTGTTTACTATTGTCTATTTCTAGTAACTCTTTTCACCCTTTAAGGCAGGGAAAAGGCTCAGAACCCACTTTATAGCACAGACTGGCTTTGAATGTACTATGCAGCCAGGTACTGGCCTTACACTCACAGTAATCCTCCGGCCTCTGTTTCCTAAGTTCTAGAATTCCAGGTAAGCCCCTATGCCAGGCTTAAGTTAGTGCCATGAAAACTACAGATTTACCAATTTTTTCCCTTTTGCCTGTAAACTTCTAAAATAATTAAAATTGTATACATATTTTATTTATGTCAACACTGGAGCACCTGCTATAAATAAAAACTCAAATAATCGGTGTGGAAATATTTGTAAAAAGAAGTAAAGATAGCATACTATGAAAATGTAAAGAAGTAAGAGATGGCTTTGTAATGAACTCCTGTGTTAGGTAACACTGTGCAAAGTTGGGGGCATGAGACACATTTCCATTAGACGCCAACATAGGAGATCCCTCCTCTTGGAATAGAATACTGTATTGCAATTAATAAAGGATATGTGTGAACTTTAGTCAATACAGAAAAACAAAAAATGAACAAGTGGAGGGTCAGTTGCACAAGAGTTTGTCATTTCACAGTGGAGAGCACAGCCTGAACACCAGGAAAGCATGAGAGCACGTGGCTCTTCTGGGGTGGAATAATAGATTGTGTGTATCAGCACGTTCTCCTGAGGGAGAAAAGATAGTGTTCATGTATAAAGCTTTGGATGGCTTGCAAAACAGTGTCACAGATTAGGAAGCCACAGGAGGCTCCATGATGAAGGAAGAAATCCAATTTTATTTGTATTGCAGACATTAAAACAAACAAACAAACAAAAGCTCATGAAACTACATTCCATTTTGTAACTGATCCTCAACTTAACATTTTTATATCTTTTTGCATCAACAAGCATGCAGATATCTTCTTAATTGCAACTTAGTCTCCTATTATACAGAAGTCCCGTGATGTATTTAAAACCTTTGGTGAATATTTAAGCTAGTTCAAATATTTAGATTTTATAAGCACTGTAGCTCAAACAGTGTATGTGGTGTGTGTGTGTGTGTGTGTGTCTCGCTTGGGACTGAATCTAGGACTTGGTGTATACTAGGTAAGTACTCTACCTCTGAGCTACAGCTTCGGCCAGGAGGAATCAATTTAGGTGTTTGTCTTCTCTAGTTACTTCCTTTGGGCCACTTTTTGGAAATATATTTTCTAGTTCCTTTCCAAGACGTCAGTCTTTCTCTTTTCTTTGGGTAAGTTTCCTCTCCTACTCCAAGATTTTACCAGTGTTCACTTTTGTTAATATTAGTGTTCAGTGTTATCATTTTGTACTTGTAAGTTTAGCTGGATGCTCTGTGTTAGTCCATGTTCTTTTAGCAAAGCAACTACCCACGCCAATCAGCCTACTGAAAGAAGAGGGGTTTTGGCTCACAGTCCTGGGGGGTGCCAGCTGGGAGATACTTGATTGCCTTTGGCTCATGGTGAGTTAGCCCATCATGATAGAGGAGAACCCCATGCCTCATGGTCAGGGAGCCCAAGAAGAGGCAGATAAGGTCCCACAATCCCCTTTGAGAGTTTGCTGCCAGCAACCTGAAGAGCACTCACTTAGCCCCATCTTCTAAAGAGTCTGTCTTCTTCTAAGTGCCACTCTGGAACAAATCCTTGATGCATGGACCTGTGAGTACATTCCAGATCCAAATTCTAGCACTGTCTTGACTCTATTTTATATATTGGGAGGGGGCTGGGGGATTAAACTCAATTTTTAATCTCTTGCTGACTCCCTTACATATATTTGGTATAAGCTTTAGGTGTGGCATATATCCTCTTCATTTGCCCTGGGGACAGTATCACACTGCTTTCCAATGGATTTAATACACAGTAGGGACATTTCCCTTAGTCTAAACAGTGGTAGATAGCTTCCTTTATGTGCTGTAGGGATTGTCTGTTCAACTTAGCGTTTTGTAAGTGTTTTTGTATTAGCAGTCTTTCTTGTAGCAAGCTTTCTTGGACTGCCCTTCTCCAAATCATGACACAGAGACTGAATGCTTGGTCTTAGCTTGGAGTTGTTTCTAGATGGAAATTTAAAAAAAAAATTAACCCATTCCTATTAATCTATGTGCTGTTCCAAGGCTCGTTTACATCATCTGCTTATTGTCCATCCTGCTTCCTCCTTGTCTGGCTGACTGTCCTCTGGCCTGGTGGACTTGCACTGCCTATCCCTCTTTTGCCTAGTTATTGGCCATTGAGTCTTGAATTAGGCCAATCAGGTGCCTTAGGCAGACAAGTAAAGCAGCAGCACATCTTTACATAGTTAAACAAATGCAGCATGTCTTCACATAATTAATTAGGTATTCTATTCCACAACACCTTCTGTCATGGATAGTGTGGTCAGGCAAGTCCACCCTTACAGAAGTGACACCAAAAGAACGTTTTGTGTATGTTCGAAAGTGGGTGATGGAGAAGGTTGGTGGGTTAGGGAACTAAAGCATGCATTACATTGACAGTGAAATAGAATGAAACCAAATGATTGTGGTATTGAAGACCCAAGATTAAATATGCTATGTACTTTTAAAAAATTAGACATTAATGCATGTGTGTGTGTGTGTGCGCGCGTGCGCACACACTCGCACTACAGAGTGTATGTGGATATGTGGATATAAAGGACAACTTGACAATCAGCTATCTCCTTCCACTATGTGAGTCTTTTTTTTTTTTTTTTTTTTGGTTTTTCGAGACAGGGTTTCTCTGTGGCTTTGGGGGCTGTCCTGGAACTCACTTGGTAGTCCAGGCTGGTCTTGAACTCACAGAGATCCGCCTGCCTCTGCCTCGTGAGTGCTGAGATTAAAGGCGTGCGCCACCAACGCCTGGCTCACTATGTGAGTCTTAAGGATGACCTCAGATCGTCAGATGTGGTGGCTTGAATGAAAACAGCCCCCATAAATCCATAGGGAGTTTCACTGTTAGGAGGTGTGGCCTTGTTGGCATAGGTGTGGCTTGTTGGAGGAAGTACATCATTGGGGGTGTGCTTTGAGGTCTCAGATGCTCAAGCCACGCCTTGTGTAGTGGTCTCTTCCTGCTGCCTGCTGATCCAGATGTAGAAACCTCAGCTCTTTCTCCAGCCCCATGTTTTCCTGCATACCAACATGCTTCCCTCCATGGTGATAATGGACTAGATATCTGGAAGTGTAAGCCAGCCCCAGTTAAATGTTTTCCTTTATAAGACCTGCCATGGTTATGGTATCTTTTCACAGCATCAGAAACTCTAAAACACCAGGTTTTAATGGGAAGTATTTTTATTCAGTGGGCCATCTCATCCTTTTAGTTTTGTTGGTGTATAATCCATCCATGGATGTCTTCATGATGTTTTCTAAAGCTGCACAAAAACACTTCATTCCTGAAGTCCCAAGGAGGTCAACCACAGAGAGATAATTGGCAAGCATTCAAATGTGTCAAAGAGAAGACAGGTTTCTCTGAGCTTAGAAAGTATTGATCTAACCTGTCTGACTTGGAGTTTCTCAGATTTGTCTGGCGTTTTGCAGGTTTATCTCTGCTTTTTCGGGTTTGAGAATTACATGTGTTTGTGTAGCCCCTGTTAATTTATGAATTCACGTAGGTTTTTGTTTGTTTGTTTGTTTTTAGTTTCTGTGACTAGCTTTTTGAGAAATCTGCTTTTTGTACTGCCTGAGCCTCACTCTTCTGCTTCACATCTTGCTGCTTCATTCAGGGGTTAGTAGCGGCATAGTTAGGAGCAGGACAGGGTTAGTGGCATGGCAAATGTGGATTGTGAGGTGCTCCCATCTGCCAGTGATCCTGGTGACAGCATTGCTTATCATTGCTTTTCCGAATCTCTAAGATCGCAGTTTTCATATTTTATTTTTAAAGTTAGGTGAGAGTTTCAGCATAAACTTCCTACCTCCAGTAAAGGCTGAGGGATCTGCCCTACTCAGGTCTAGAACATGGTCCTCTGTCCCTGAGTCTAATGATTATTTCCCTCAAATTCCTTGTTCCTGTAACAATGCCTGTGTAAATGCCATTTTGGTGCAGAGAGATGGATTTTGTATGCTAATCGCTTATTTATGATTTTAAATCTATATTTACAAATCATAAAGGCTTAAGCCTTTTTTATTTGTCCTACATTTTCAGCTTTGGAATAAAAAAAATAATTCCCTGGTGCAGGCACATCAGAAACAAACTGGTCTTCTTTTGACTTAAAACACCCTGGGCCTGCTGTGTTTTTAATTCTGTTTTTCATTTACTTTCAAGGAATTATTTTATGATTATTGATGTAGTAAACTTTTTAAGCGTTTTTAATCAGCACTTTTGCTTCCTGGAAATAACTTACTGTGCTTGAGACTTGACTTCTCTGCTGTAAAATTATTCTGATTTTTTTTTATAATAAACATGAACAAATCCTGTCTGTCCCCAAGGCATGCTCTAGTCTAATTTCTTGTGTTGCTTGTGTGTCTCTGTGTATCTTTATTTTTTCTGTGAAGTCTGTTGTCTGCAAGTGGTCTTTCCACAGCATATACTTTTATTGAGGAAAGGGAAGAGAAATTTGATATTTTTTTCTTTGTAGTCTATTTCTGAGTCATACATCAGACTTTCACATTATAGTGATAAGCCTTTCCATTTCTTCCTGTTTTTCTCTCGCCTTTGCTTACAGGTTTCTTAGCTGTGGCCATAGGTAAATAAAAGTTCCTATTGTTATATATTTTGTGGTTTATATCTTCTACAAATATGAAATAGGCCAGCCTGGCCTCCAACACAAAGAAATCCACCTGCCTCTGTCTCCCTGGTGCTGGGGTTAAAGGTGTGCGCCTCTACCACCCCGCTCAAAATTTAACTATTTAAATAAATAAAAACACTCTTATTAGAAGACAGGAATAAGGTTATACAGAAATAAGAAAAAAATCAGAATAATTTTAAGTGAATTGGAAACATGGAAGATAACTATTTGTAACATGAAGCTAATGTTTTTTGTTTTCCCCTTATCTTGAACTACCAAATATCAAGGTCTAGTGGGCATCCCAAAGTACCCACTAGTACCCAAGGAATCCAAGCAGATGAGGGAAGCTAAGCTTACACCGTTGTCTCTTGTATCCTTTTGTTTCTCCTTTCTCTTGAGATTGTGTTTTCAGAACTAGGAGAATATTTAAACCTTATTTTTCAAACTTGTCTTTGTATCTGCTTTGTACTATGCTCTTAGAAAATGACTCCATGCATGAAGCATTTATAAGAATTGTGTGCATGTATCATCAGGACCATTAGGACACAAGCTACGTCAGGAAATGTAGTCATTAACTGATAAGGTTTCTTTAGCC